TTTAAATACGTTTTCATGGTGAAAGCATGAATCAGCTCGATTTCTCTCTATCTTTAAGCCTTCTCTCTGGAATCTGCAGATATGACGCTTTTTAAAAATACATACAAGGTCTTGGGGAGGAGGGGTTAAACACAGTAAGTTTAGTTTTACTTTTATTTTAAAGAAATAGTTGCTTCTTAGAATTCTAATTAGTAAGAAAGGCAAGCTGTTGTTGGTGAAAAAAATGCCATAGTCATTCTTTCAGATTAAATGCTCTGTTGAAATTTGCATGGAAGAAGCACATCGAATTATTAGAATTAATATCTTCATATAAGCCACACTGATTTTCTCTGAAAATTTTTTATCGGTCGATTGATTTGTTTGCATGGAGTATGACAAAAACACTTCGCCGCAAAAGAAGCATTTTTTTGCTATTTGAAATACGGTTCTAATAAGTTAAAATGAGTGTTAACATTGATCGAATATTATTAAATAAAAACAAAACCTCCGACGACCTCGGATATAAATAATAATTGTTTGAGTAACAAGTTATTTTTAAAAAACACATGCCAACCGATCTATATAAATCAGATGACTCTTTCAAGCAGTGTTCTTTTAAGTTATAAACCCAATTATTCATAATTAGGCAATAATTGATTATTTAATTGCGAACGACTTAGTTTTCTAAGCAATTTGTGATAAACAGTTCTCTTCTTGGTAACTCAAAGATTTTTGGAACCCAAGTAAGTTTTTCTGTAATATTCTTATAAGAGATTACTACAGAGTGTAGGCATCTTATGGAGGTCACGTGATCTGATGGCAAGCACAAATTCCAGAATAATTACGTTAACCGCCGTTTTGGTGGTAAAATAAAGTTATTATAGTTGTATAAGTTGTTTACAATGTATTTATTGTGAAATATGGATATCATACAAACGGTTGTTATCGCTTTAAGTGGGGAGATTAAAAAAGACTGGAGTGGGTGATCTACTTGCTTTTTGTGCTTGAAACTGATGTTGTTAAAAAGTGTTTGTTGGGAATCTTTGTAATAATACAACGTGTGTGTCAATTTACAAGGCGTGCCAAGAGTATATTATACTATATTATACAACTTTTTTTCTTTATTTTAGATTGTCTGGACCCTGGAAACAGGAGTTAAGCGCATCATTTCGTCTTCGTGCTGACTTAATTAAATAGAAAGAAATGTAATTAGAACATATACTGTTACTACATCTTTGGCTAGCTAGGGCAGGAATGTTGATGGTCCTTATCCGAGTTTTTAACCCAACTGCCGATATGTGCGCCAGGAGAAAGCTTTGCGCATCATAGAAACATCACATCACATTATACACTAAAGAAAGGAATTAATACAACACGAAACCGTCTTAGGCCTTTGAAATAAGTGGGAATTGGCCCGTCTTGTGGTTGGGCTTGTATTGCGGAGAAAGTGCTGATTTGAAATACACGTGCTCATTCAGATATGTCTATTTTAACACGCTTTTAACGTTTTTTTTTTTCTGAATCAAAAATAGCATACGCATCCTCGAATGCAGTCAAACAATCACTATTAACTGCGGTCAAATTACTGGGATTTTTATTACTTTCAGGTAATTTGCATCACTAAAGGGATTCTGGCATACGGACTAAATCATGGTGCGCCCCTCTTTAAGCACAGTGGCTCGGGCATGCAGGCCATTCCTAAACCGTACTGTTCTGAAGTTCTTCACAGTGATTGCGATGATTTGTATTCCCTTAAGCATCTATCTCTTACATGTACGGATTGAACCTATCCAAGCGAAAAGATATGTCAAATCTCTGCCAAATTATGCCTGGTTAATAAGGTCCGGTCAGAGCTCAAATCAAACCGATGACAAGGCATGTGTATATCCAGTATTGGACCCATACAGCCCCGAGATGATGGCGTTCTTTGAAAAACAGTCTCCAATCCAATGTGAGATAGACGAAAACTGGGTATATATAGAAAATGCCACATTTCGCATTTCGGAGTCAGCTCTAAAGAAATATGGACCAGACATTGAATGTTCCTATAGAACTATTACGCGTGGCAAAACTGACTTTGAGGTGGAACGAGGTCCAAGTGTGCCCTTTAAAGACGGAGACCCTTTAAAAACTGATTTTGCGATTGTACAATGCTATGGCCTTCTTTGGAAAAAGTTTGAAACTATTCTCTCCGGCATCTCGTATCAGCCTGATCTTCATGCAAGATATAAGCCATCAATGCTATCAAATTCATCCATGGGATTCAATGTTCTTATGTTTGGATTTGACTCCGTATCAAGAATGACATGGATTAGGAATTTAAAGAAAAGTTACGATTATTTCACCAAAGAATTAGGCGGCATCGTTCTGGAAGGGTATAACATAGTTGGTGACGGAACGCCGCAAGCTCTTTTGCCAATTCTAACTGGGTTTACTGAAGCGGAACTACCCGAGGCTAGACGAGGAAAGCCGAATGCTAAACAAGTTGATGGGTAAATCTCTCTCTCTCTCTCTCTCTCTCTCTCTCTCTCACACACACACACACACACTCTCTGAGTCTCTCTCGTGTATTCCTGGTCCTCAATTATTTATTGTTTCTTCAAATTTTGTATCGTTCTTACCATCTCGCATACGTAGCTCTCAAATGAGTCACCTAGCCGAAAGCTTCGTATAAAGAAATCTTGGAAAGGTGTAGAGCCGCATTTTGCAACCGGTTGCAAAATACGTTCAGTTGCAAAATGCGGTCCTACTAAGTAGAGCCGCATTTTGCAACTGAACGCATTCTGCAACTGTAACGCATTTTGCAACAAAAGAAAATCGTGAAAACCGCATTTTGCAACCGGTTGCAAAATGCGGCTCTACAAAGGCCACCTTATCCAGAGTGGAGAACACAGCACAAGATGAACAAAAAAACTGAAACTGCGCTTGCAGGCCTACCCAACTACCAGACTCGGCACCGAATGATCCTGAATTCACCGGTAGATCGGACCACACAACACGTTTTTTATGCCAACAAAGAATGACATTTTACGTTATGTTACTGAATGACTGTTTTCATTTATTTCCAACAGGTTTCCTTGGATTTGGAATGAATTCAAGAAACTCGGTTACGTCACTCAGTGGGGAGAAGATTTGTCAGGAGTCGGTACATTCCAATATAGGATGCTAGGATTTAATGAAACACCAACCGATCACAACTTACGGCCATTTTTCCTAGAAGGAGAAAATAATTACGAAAAATCAAATTGCTTTGGTGCTATCCCTTCTCATGTCCAAATAATAAATTGGGGAAAAGACATGTTTCTAATGTATAAAGATAAACCAAAGTTTTCATTTTTATTCCATTCCAAGTACAGCCATGGGTACACGTCAAAATTACAAGTAGCAGACGATGACTTGTTGGGATTCTTGCAATGGTTAGAAAAAGGCAGGTTTTTAGATGATACCATCTTGATTTTGATGGCAGATCATGGCGCACGATTTACTTCTGTAAGAGACACAGTTCAGGGAAAGCTAGAAGAACGCATGCCATTTTTCTCGTTCCGTTTCCCAAAGAAATTCATTGAAAAGTACCCAAAAGCCTACGCCAATGTGAAGAAAAACTCCAAAGTCCTCACAACCCCCTTTGATATTCACGAGACATTCATAGATATGATAAATCACACTGGCACTGGAGTTGCAGATATACGACGGAGAGGCGTTAGTCTCTTTAAAGAAATTCCTAAAAGTAGAACCTGTGCGCATGCCCAAATTGAAGCTCATTGGTGCACGTGCTTGAATTGGGAAAAGGTAGATGAAAATGTGAAAAAAGTAGATGAAAATGTGAAAAAAGCCATTGGCTCTGTAATAAGAAAATTAAATTCCATTATAGAGCCACAAAGCCACCTCTGTCATGAACTTGAGTTGGGAAATGTATCTCAAATTGTTCGTTATAGCGGGCCAAGTGAAACGCTCTTGAAATTCAAGCAGAGCGCTGATAATGACGGACGGCTGCCAGACTTATCGGATAATATTGCGATGTCCGAGATATTGTACCAAATTAATTTATCTACCAAGCCAGGGAACGGGCATTTCGAAGCAACTGTTCATCACGCAGTTCAGAGTGGCAATTTTATTGTATATGACAAGGAGATAAGCAGACTGAATAAGTATGGAAACCAGCCCTACTGCGTCGCTGGAAAACTGCCGCACTTACGAGCCTATTGCTATTGTAAAGAGCAGTTATCGACATAAAAGTATCAAACTGTGACGTTTCCCTCATTTCACGGCTGTGTAAATGTAAAGTAAAAAATAAAACAAAATGTAAATTAAAGCTATGTTCGTTGTTGCTACTTCATAAATACAATAATATTAAGTTGAAAATGTACAATACAAAACTTAATTTGGAGAGGGAAAAATACATTAACACAATTTAAAATTAAAAAAAAAAATCAAATCTGAACCACACTTGGAATCAACAGTGATAATGTGCACACTGAAACAAGTTGCCATGTCAAGGGTAAATCAACACCAGCTGAAAAAAATCCGAAATTGCTCCTCTAGAGTTATAGAGGAATAAAGAGCATTTTAATAACCCCCCC